CCAGGAGTAATTCCTGAGTGCAGAGCCAGGAGTGACCCCTGTGCATTGACGGGTGTTACCTAAAAAGCAAAGTAACAATAATAATAATAATGTTTTCAGATAAACATGAATATTCCACTAAATCTGCCCTGAGAAGATGCGCCATAGATAGGCGCCTCACCAATGAGAGGCCTGGAGCCAGTGCTGAACATGGCTCCAGTTTCCTGCTCTGAGAGAGGGGGGGCGCCACCTCCCAGGTCCCTTTAAGTCCTGGTAGTGGGATCCAGTGCCCCTTCTCTGCCTGCTTTCACCTGATGGGACCCGAGGACCACTGCAGCAGACACAGCAGGCAGAGGCCCGTGTGCTGAGAGCGGCAGATTCTGGGAATGGAGGGTGTTGCAGGAATGTGGACAGGCCACGGGTAGGGTCCACTTCCATGACTCATCTACTGCTATATCTACTAGAGGAAAAATGGGAACTAGTGTGGGAGGGGAAGATCTCTGGGCTGGTAAGGAAGAGGTGTTGCGTATTGTTAGAATAAACAATAATCACTGTATCACTGTCATTCCATTGTTCATCGATTTACTCAAGCGGGTGCCAGTAACGTCTCCATTCGTCCTAGTCCTTAGATTTTAGCAGCCTCTCCTTCCTCGTCTTTCCCAACATGGCCATATTGGAGGCTCTTTCAGGGTCAGGGGAATGAGGCCCGTTTTTGTAACTGTTTTTGGCATATCAAATACGCCATGGGGAGCTTGCCAGGCTCTGCCATGAGGCGAAACAATAATAGTTGATCTAATTTGTAGTCCAAACAAAACCAACTAAAATATTGCTTTTTTTTTTTTTTTTGCTTTTTGGGTCACACCCGGCGATGCTTAGGGGTTACTCCTGGCTCATGGACTCAGGAATCACTCCTGGCGGTGCTCGGGAGACCATATGGGATGCTGGGAATCGAACCTGTATTGGCCATCTTGGCTGCGTGCAAGGCAAACACCCTACCCGCTGTGCTACCACTGGGCTGGAGCAATAGCACAGCGGTAGGGCGTTTGCCTTGCACGCAACCAACATGGTCGACCCGAGTTCGATTCCTCCTCCCCTCTCAGAGAGCCCAGCAAGCTACCCAGAGTATCTCGCCCGCACGGCAGGGCCTGGCAAGCTCCCCGTGACGTATTCGATATGCCAAACACAGTAACAACAAAGTCTCCAATGGAGACGTTAGTGAGCCCGCTCGAGCAAATTGATGATCAACGGGAAGGCCTTTACTTACTTTTACTTATACTTGATACTTGAACAATGAGGTTTAACTGCAAATGCTTACTTGAATATTTTTCCCATCTCTTTTCCTCCTCCTCCTCCTCAGCCTACACTGTGTGAAGACTATTAGGATGGAGACCTTTAGAGTGATCCATTTATGATTTTCTTTTGTCTAGGGACAACACTTAGTGATGCCCCAAAGTCTCAGTCTCAATTCCCAGCATTGCCTACTCTTCTACACGTCACTGGGAGAAAACCTGAAGCTCAAAACTGGGAATAACCCCAAAGGCCCCACTGTCAGCTGTGGCCCAAAAATAAAATAGAAAGTAAAATAAACTCAAACAGCATTTTTAATGAGGCAGTTTAGTTAAATAAGCATTTAAAAGCACTTTAAATATGTTTTCTTCCTTTAAAAAATAGTATTAATTTAGGTTTGAACAATATATTGGTCTATTCTTTCCCATTTTGGAAAATGTGATTTTGGGTTTTACTAGCAGTGATAGCACAGCGGGTAGGGCGTTTGCCTTGCATGCAGCCAACATGGCCGACCCGAGTTCGATTCCTCCGCCCCTCTCGGAGAGCCCGGCAAGCTACCGAGAGTATTCATATGCCAGACACAGTAACAACAAAGTATCCAATGGAGACGTTACTGGGCCCGCTCGAGCAAATCGATGATCAACGGGAGGGCCTTTACTTTACTTACTTTACTAGCAAGCATGGCAGATAAAGGATACCTCAACAAAATAAAGCAGACCCAGGAACAGAAATTTGCTTATCAATCATGATAATTTTTTAAAACAAATTTCAATCCTACATTCCCATTTGTTAAAAATCTATTTGGAAATTATCATTCTTTATTTAAATTCACAATAATAGCATAATAACCAAAGGAGTTTATTTACAGCTCTACTTAAACAAATGGACCAAGACCACATTGAAATTCTTCATCAGAAAATTATTTAATTGTAACTTTAGGCACCATGATTAACAATACTGTTTACAGTCCTGTTAATGGTAGATTTCCATGTGTGACACATTCCAGCACCACACACTCCAAGAGAGTGTCACTTTACTCCACCACTGTCCCACGCTCACTCCAGCCCCACAGTCACACTCTGGGAAACTTCCTACTGAAGACCAGTTCCCACTTTCTGTTGCCTTTGAGTGTCTGCTGTTCTCCTACTATGTTCCTTTCTATCCCACATATGAGAGACAGCATTTTCTTTCTGTCCCTCTCTTTCTGACTCATTTCACCCAACATGACCCCCACCAGATCCATCAACATAGCAGCAAGTTGCGTGACTTTGTCTTTTCTCATAGCCGAGGAGGGCTCCATTGTGTGTGTAGCACAGTCTCTTTATCCAGTCATCTGTCCAGAATGATTTTCAAACAAATCAGAAGATCGTGTTTGAGGTTTATAAGCAGGCCCTGCCAGGACACTGAGTGCAGCCCGTGAGTAGGGTTGGACCAACAACCAAAGGAAGAGGTGGGTGAGGAAAGGGAGGGTCCGAGGATGGCATTGGCTGGTTTGGCAATGGAGAGGGAGGAGAAGAACAAAGCAAAGGAGAGGCCAAGGCCCTGGGTTAGTCAGGCTCTTTCAAAGAAACAAAACACCACGAATGGGAGTGTGTCGTGAGGACACGGGAAGCCTACATGGACTCTGTCACCCCTGTTATTGCACTGCCATCGCCGTGAAGGTGTCACTCATGCTATTTCAAGACACTGTCTGTCACCCTGGACTCTGGGGCAATCCTCAGCAGTAGTGGAGTTTGTGGCTAAATTGCTTATAGCCTTTGCCTTTGTTTCTTCCCTCCAACCCCACAGTTCCTATCTGCCTCCTCAGCTCTTCATGGCTGATTCAGACTCCTCTTGGCTGTTTTCTCTGTCTCCCTGGAATCCAACACCAATTTGCTCACACAGATCTCAGGTGAAGTTGACCCAGGGTTGCTGGTTGAATTCAACTACATTTGATGTAGTTGAATATGTCTGGTGTAGTGGACCATAACTTCATGGCACAAATTAGAGCAATTATGCACCAGGAGCTCCTCAGAATGAACAGTCTGAGGTTTCACATAGGTTAGCCATTACACGTCTGTCCATTATATTATGGGAGATGTGATATTTCTGAATGAGCTAATTCTGCAAAAACATCAATGGTATGCATGAATGTATTTTACTAAAAAGTTCATATTCCGGAGCCAGAGACATAGTTCAAAGAGGAAGGTGCTTGGCTTGAATGCAGCTGACCAGGGTTCAATCTCTAACACCACATATGGTCTCCTGAGTACCACTAGGAGTGATCCCTGAGCACAGAGCTAGAAATAAACCCTGAGCACTTCTGGATGTGGCCTAAACAAAACAAAACAAAACAAAACAAAAAAATCCCAACATCCTCCCCCAAATAATCACAGAATTTGAAACTGACTGCTTTATATCCTCAGCTTTGTTACATACCGGCTGTGTGTGTCCTTAGGCAAATTACTTAATAAATCTGTGTCACAGTTTTGTCATTGGTAAAGTGAGTTTAATAAAAATTATCTTGTTGGATTGTTAGCAGGGTTGAATATATTTAAACTGGAATAGTTACTGGCATAAAATGAGCATTTTACTGCAATCCTGACTTGAACTCCAACTAAGACCCAGTAGCTATGCACTGTTTTTGCCACTTTGCTCTGAGTTAAGTTAATCTCTGATTAAATGTTATCTTGCACTCTTTTCGAGCAGTGCTCTAGGACTCAGTGTTGGGATTGCTCTGCAAAGCGCTCAGGAGACCTTTCCTTGACAGGGATCAAATCTGGGCTTCCCACATGCAAAGCATGCATTCGACTAGCATTCCAAGCTTCCTCCTTTTTTGTCCTTTTAGTTTGTTTTTAAGCCATGCTCAGTGGTTCTCAGATCATGCTCCTGACTCAGGGCTTTAGGTTGCTTCTGCTGGTATTTGGGGTAATATATGCTACTGGGGGGGTTGAAATCAGGTCTCCTACCTGTAACACAGATACTCTTAATTCATTCAACTGTTTTCACAACCCTTCATTTTATACTTTTGCAGAAATGGGTAACTCTTGGTGTTGCTCAAGGATTACTCCTGGCTCTGTATTCAGGGATCACTTATGATGGGGCTCAGTTGACCATATGGGGTGCTGAGGATCAAACCCAGGTCAGTCACATGCAAGGCAAGTGCCTTGTTGGGTATACTATCTCTCCAGTTTTAATCACTGTATCACTGTATTGCTGTCATCCCGTTGTTCATCGATTTGCTTGAGCAGGCACCAGTAACGTCTCCATTCATCCCAGTCCTGAGATTTTAGCAGCCTCTCCTTACTCATCCTACCCAATAGTGCCGTATTGGAGGCTCTTCCAGGGTCAGGGGAATGAGACCCGTTATTGTTTTTTTTTTTTGGCATTTCAAATACGCCACGGGGAGCTTGCCAGGCTCTGCCATGCAGGTGTAATACTCTCGGTAGCTTGCTGGGCTCTTTGAGAGAAAGAGAGAATGTATTTAAGAGAATACAAGCAAGTATGTTAAAACCAAACACATGTGTGCTGCCTTAGGTACATCAGTGGGCTAGACTGATAGGTCGCACAGCCATATTTACTTCCCAGAGCTTTGTTTTATAGTCTCTGGATCTTGGCCATTGATGAGATTACATGGCGCTGGGGGAAGTTTGTGGGTATGACTGCCAAACTTCTGGAAAATGGGGGATCTGGGTAGAGGAGGCCCAGTCCCGATCCAAGCAGGCTTGGAGATCTCAGCCCTGGGTCCTGCATACCTGGGTTCCTCTGCTGGTTCCTTCATGTGTGAGGCTTGTCCGAGCATGTGGAGAGTGACCTTGAGCATGACTGTAGCTCGGTGTTGGAGGTTTTCAGCTGCCAGTGTTCTGTTTGGGGCGAGGAGGGAAACTCAAGCCACGCCCCTCAACTGGCCCCAGTGAAGACAGCCTGGTGTGGGAACAGGATATTCTGCGTCAATATACCTTAATAAATATACAATAATTTTTTAATATACAATAATTTTTTTTATTTTTCACAGTTTGAAGCTATTTTTTTAAATTTCATGGCCAAATGTAGAATATTTTTATAACCAGAGAATCAGAATTCTGGAAGAGGAAATAACTCCTACCAAAAGAAATATTATTTCCCTTGCTATCATATTAGTTTTAGTTTGTAATATTGTCATAGCTTTATTGATTTCCCTCTCAAGACAGTCAATTTCCCTATAACATTTGATTTAGAAATGAAATAGGTAATATGTGCTTATTAAAAGTTATCCACGAGAGTGATTCAGAAACCAGGAGGCATGTTCCGATGCACACACATTCAGAAACCAGGAGCAAGACACTGATATACACATTATTTGTGAATATACATAAATACATATAGATTTATGCTCTATATGATTTTTTACCTTATAAATTTTTCTGTCATGCTCTTATATTTGAATTAAAAAGGCCCTCCCGTTGATCGTCGATTTGCTCGAGCGGGCCCAGTAACGTCTCCATTGGAGACTTTGTTGTTACTGTGTCTGGCATATCGAATACTCTCGGTAGCTTGCCGGGCTCTCCGAGAGGGGCGGAGGAATCGAACTTGGGTCGGCCATGTTGGCCGCTTGTGAGGCGAACGCCCTACCCGCTGTGCTAACATTTGTTCAATTGAATTTTTATACAATGATCAATAGTGTGCACTCCAACAATTGAAATTATAATTTCCTATTACAATATTCCATTATGTTTAAAAATGTAGATTTAAGCAAGTACTTATGTGGTCATTTTATTTTGAGATCATTACACCTTAACTGTGGAAAATAAATCTATATGGCAACAAGTCAATAGTGCCATTAATCAACGGATTCATTCATCACTTCTGATCATGGCGTTAGCCACCCCTAAAGTGAACCCCAATCCCAGCAACAGTGGCTTGACAGTGGCTGGTTTGGAGGAGTCGTTGGGGAATGAGGTTTGGAACTTGTAGTGACTGTTCTCCCCTTTTCTCCTGCTCGGGATTAAGCACTAAGCCAGTGCAGTAACTCATAGACCTCACTCCTCCACCAATCTTGAGAGAGGATGCCGGCCTATGCTTCCCGGGTTTCTCTCTCCACTAGTCAAAGTCACCAGCACAACCACTGACTCTCCTGCACGTGCTCCTTGGCAGGGCTGTAACTCTCTCAATGCTTGAGTCTAGAGCTGACCCTCTCTTCACTGAACCTGAGATAGATGCAATGCCACTAGTGATGGGAGAGACAAGGACCTTAAAACAGAGAGGTGGGGCTGGAGCGATTGCACAGTGGGTAGAATGTTTGCCTTGCACGTGGCCGACCGGGGTTCGATTCCCAGCATCCCATATGGTCCCCCGAGCACCACCAGGAGTAATTCCTGAGTGCATGAGCCAGGAGTAACCCCTGTGCATCGCTGGGTGTGGCCCAAAAAAGAAAAAAAAGAGAGGTGAGGAGCATTAGAGGGGCAAGGAGCTTTTATTTTAAACTCCTTAAAAAAAATTATTTAACGTGACTCTTTAGTACAGCAGTTTTAGATTCACAGTAAAATTAAAAGGAAGGCAGAGTGATCCCTATATTTCCTGCCCCCATATGTTCATAACCTTCCATCAGCAACATTCCTCATCAGAGTGCTACATCCACTACCACTGGTGAAGCTGCATCAACACACCATAATCTCACATATCCAACAGCTTTCATTAGAGTTCTGTCTTCGTGTCATGCATTTGATGGTTCGTACAAATGGATAGTGGTTTGTAACCACCATCAGGACACTGCATAGAGTACTTCCATAGACAAGGAGCATAAAAGAGAGAGGCAAGGAGTATAAGAGAGGCAAGGAGCCTAAGAGAGGTACGAAGCATAAGCAAGGCAAGGAGCTTAAAACAGGTGCAAGTAGGCCCTTGTTTCCAAATGAAACTTATTATTGCAGGAGCACAATAAGTGGCACACACGTAGCAAAGGGTGGTACTCATTCTTTCCCATTTTTGTACCGACACTGAAGTCCTTTTAGATAAATCTGGTAGCCACTGTCTCACAGGAAGCTACACCTCAGATTGTTCCAACACCTTCAGTAGGGTCAAATGAGATCACAGGCCCTCTTGGAGCCTTCTAGTCAGCTCAGAGGTGCATACGCACACAATGTGCAAGAATATATTAGATCTGTGAACCTCTGTCTTATTAATATACTTTTCTAAGCCAAAGTTGTGCACAGAATGTAATTCTGAGTTCTGAGGAAATACCAAAATACATCAGAGTTTTCCTGTCTGAAGAAAAGTATATTATTAGAGCACCAATACTAGCAACAGGAAATAATTTGAAAATAATGCAAGATAACAATCTGAAATTGTGGCTTAAATCAAAATGAACATAAAATGTTCATTACATTAAACCCTGGTGTTCGGAGACACCGCTCTCTTTCTGGACCTCAGTTATCTTGTTGGTTTTTGTTTTGTTTTGAAGTAGGAAGAATATTAATCCCTTGCTGTCTTTTAAACAATCCTGTGATAAGCAACTATAATTGTGTGCCAGCACTTTGAAAAGCTCTTCGCCCAGAATGTAGGACATTACTATTATTGCTGCGGTCTGTGTCACTGTGATCACCAATATAATAGATACTCAGAGTTTGGAAGGGAAGAATCCTTGTACTCAGAGAAACCCACCCAGAGAAAGCGGGATCTGAGAGTCTGAGCTAGCTTGGAAGTATATACAGGATTCAAAAATGGCACGAAGCATAATGTTTTGGAGCTGGATGGAACAACAATGTATCTGCAAGGAGAAATGTGTGAAGGTTATTTCTTCACTCATATATGTCCATACGGATAAGGGTGTCAACCCCAGACGAACCATTAAGTTGCAGTATGTGTAGCTCCTGAGGTGAGCATCTTCCTTCGTTCAAAACTAGGCATTTGCTTAGAAAACTCAAAATATATCTCAAACTGCAGGGGCTGGAGCAATAGCACAGCGGGTAGGGCATTTGCCTTGCATGCAGCCAACCCGGGTTCGATTCCCAGCATCCCATATGGTCCCCCAAGCACCGTCAGGAGTAATTCCTGAGTGCAGAGCCAGGAATAACCCCTGTGCATCATTGGGTATGACCCTAAAACAACAAAAACAAAACAAAGTATATCTTGGACTGCAGAGTCAAAAAGTTTTGTTCTACAAGGCTTCCCAAACATGGGGGTCCTGTTCTTGCAAATGAGTGTATTCTTGTCCTCTGTGTTTTGTTACGTCCAACTCAGGACTTAGGAAATGACAAGTACCCCCCAAAGCTACTGGCTAAATTAAATCCCTGCTATTACATTATCCTCTGTGATCACTGCCACCCACTGTAGCTCCATCTTCTCTTAAGTTTACCAAAGGCCCCATTCTATGCCAATTAATGGTCATTCTTTGTGTTTATCCTTCTTGACCTTGCTGAATTTGTGCCTGGTCCTTACTCATTCTACAATCTCACAAAAGACTCTATTGTCTGCTGGGAACAATTCTATCCCTGATTCTCAAGCACATGGCGTCAGACTTTTCCCTGAATCTCAAACCACTGAGAAATTCAAACGTGCAAACTAGTGTTTTATTGTAAAATACAAATGTATGCAAGGTGATCCCAGAGTGCTAAGATTCACATTTCACTGTTAATTACTTTAATTCATATGCTTTTCTCCTGCCGTCTACCTATAAGCTATACTTGAAGGAACGCTGGTATTAATAAGTTTAATGAAAGAAAAGTCACCTGGAGCATGAGGAAATTATCTGGAACAAATTTTGCTAAATGAAGAGCAAAGCGAAGACACCAGTGAAAAACATGAATCTCTGCCCATGCACACCTAACTGAGTTCCCTGTCAAGAACCCCACCTTCAAGCCAGGCTTTGCTTACCCTGAATGACAGCCTCATAAAGGAGACCCCTTCATTCAACAGGGCAATTGCAACCAACAATAGATATAACTTACTTTCTTCCCTTAAAAACAGGCCTGCAGTGTGGGGGTGGGAGTAAGGGTGGCCTGGGGAGGGAATCCTGGGCTTCTTTTCAAAAACAGTTCTCTGCAAATGCTTGAACTGCAAGTGACATCTGCTTCCCCACACACACCCTCCCACGAGCAACAGGGAGTGCACGTCATCCTGCTCTGCCTTGATGAAAACTTGAGAGTGTATTTGAAAATACAGCTTCCAGGCCCCACCTGTTCTGGAATGTTCTGAAAGGGAACATGAGTCACATGACAGCTGGGGGAGACACAGCACTTTTTCTTCTCATGTTCCACTGTTGACCCCTAAAATAGTCATTTTCTGCCCACACATTGTCCCTTCAGGGAAGCAAGAACAGTGTGCCCAGCGTTGCCCTCGAGGGGAGAGATGACTGACACTTCAGGAGGATGGGGTGAAGGTTCTGTGCCCGTGGGCGCACATGGCTGGCTTGAGACTGACTGAGACTTGAGCAAGGAAAGTTTAGTGTAGAGTCAGGTCTTCTGGGTACTTATCTCTCCCTACGCTCCTCCTCTGGAAGGGAATGAGGATCAAGTAAACTTAAAAAAGGCTCCTTGATTCAAGGCTGGCCCTTCAAGCCCGTGTCCCACTTTAATGCTTTCCACTTGTTTGTCTCAGTGTTCCTTTGCCTGCCTTTCTCCACTCTAGTGAAGCCTGTGTACTCTCTGGAACATGTGCTTCTCCTCCTCTCTTTCCTCACATCTTTCTAAAGTTTCAACAAAAACAACTCTTGCTTCACTAAAATAAATTAATAAAAAAAAGTTCCCTGATTCCACCCTGGGCTTCACGGCTGTTACTTCCACGGCTGTGTCCCAGGCAGAACGGCAGAACTGGAGTTCCCATTAAGGTCACAGGTGCAGGCCTCGATCTCTAAGCCAACTTTGTGTTGACATAGTTCTATTCCCACCTAGATTTGAGGGCCTCAGCCCACTCAGAATCAGAAGGGAAGGGCCATGGGCTGACAGGCATCTTCACAGTATCATAAGAGCAGCGTGAACTAAAACTTCTATTCCCTGCCTTCTTAGTGCCCTCTAAAACAACAATTCATTCTGATATGTTTTCTTAAAGACTGTTTTCCCTACTCCCATCTCAGTATTCCTTTATCTGCACCATTATTTGAGACCCATGACTTGTCTCTTGTGATCAGACACTTGAGTTCTACAGCTGACATGTGTGTTTGCTGGGATTCACACGCTGACCCTAGCACTGTAGCACTATAGCACATTTGTAGCTGTGATGCTTACATAGACAGAGCTGCTAGACTGTAAACAGCAAGAAAAGACGGGAGTGTTTAGTGTGGAAGTAGAAGGCAGGAGAGTGTTCCAGGTAATCTCATTAATTTGAATTGGTCCTGTTTCACCCACCCCTATATCAAATAGATAATGAAGTGGCTGGGAGTGGGAGATAGTAAGATATTAAAGGGGGAATGGATTAGATAGTTTCTCCCTTCGATACCCACTGACACCCACACAGCAACTTCGTTAATAAAAAATTCATGTTGATTAAGTTTATTCTTTGAAATAGAGTGATAGTAATCCATAATAGAGATGTGTAATAAATTTTACCTAGTTCTATTACAATTGCCAGTAAGATCAATTATTCAATTGTACTTATTTGAATAAATTCTCTTTTATTTTAGGTACCATAATTTACAGTACTGTCAATGATAAGGTTTCATTCTAGTTCAGCTTCTACGGGAAACAGTATGGAGCTTTCTCAAAAACGAAAGAATAGAACTTCCTTATTATTTTTTTTTTATTGACTCACCATGAGATACACAGTTACAAAGTTGTTCCTGATTGGGTTTCAGTCATACAATGTAGAATTCTCTTATGACCCAGCAATTCCATTTCTTGGCATCTACTTCCCAACACACACACACACACACACACACACACACACACACACACACACACATACCATTAATCTGACGAGATATATATCTTATGTGCCTTATGTCCATGACACCACTTAGTACAAAATCCAGAAGGTGGGGACCACCCAAATGTCCATGACAGACAAATGACTAAAGAAGTTATGATTAAAAGGCCCTCCCGTTGATCGTCGATTTGCTCGAGCGGGCCCAGTAACATCTCCATTGGAGACTTTGTTGTTACTGTGTCTGGCATATCAAATACTCTCGGTAGCTTGCCGGGCTCTCCGAGAGGGGCGGAGGAATCGAACTCGGGTCGGCCATGTTGGCCGCGTGTAAGGCGAACGCCCTACCCGCTGTGCTATCGCTCCAGCCCATATATATGTATATATATTAATTAGATATATAAATACACATACACATACACAACGAAATATTATGTAGCCACAAGAAGAAAGCAAAATCATGCTACTAGTTGCAAATGGAAGACATCATTATTTTCAGGCTTCCATCATGATCAAATTTACAATATCACGGTATATCACGGTCCTCCCGTTGTTCATCGATTTGCTCGAGCGGGCCCACTAACGTCTCCATCATGAGACTTGTTGTTACTGTGTTTGGCATATCGAATACATCACAGGTAGCTTGCCAGGCTCTGCCGTGTGGGCGAGATACTCTCGGTAGCTTGGCGGGCTCTCCGAGAGGGGCAGAGGAATCGAACTTGGGTTGGCCATGTTGGCCACTTGCAAGGCAAACGCCCTACTGCTGTGCTATCGCTCCAGCCCAGAAGACATCATGTTAAGTGAAATAAGCCAAAGGGAGAAGAACAAACACTGAGTTGTTTTACTCATTTGCAGCATGGAGAGAGACAAAACAAGGATGAATGATAACTAACTCTGAATTACAGAACTGAGAATACCAAGTTAAGAAAGGGAAGAGGGGGAGATGAGGTAGATTGGAAGTAGCACAAAAACATTAGTGGAGAGTCTTGAGCACTCTCCTGGTGTTAAAGTGTGATTAACTATATACAGAGAAACTATAAATTTCAACACTGTTGTAAATACCTGACCTAAATTACAATAATGGAAAAAATAGAAGAGGCCAAAAAGATAGTACAGCAAAGAATGTGCTTGTGTTGCACGTGTCTGACCCGGGCTTGATTCCTGGCATTCCCTATGCTATCCTGAGCACTGAGAAGAGTAATTCCTATGTAAAGTCAGGAGTCACACCTGAGAATCACTTAATATGACCCAAAACCAGAAAAATAAATAAATTAATAAATTAAAAAATTTTAAAGATCACTTTAGTGGTGATGCAATATCTTTACACATGATCACCAAAAACCTTAACATCATTATAATCATGTTATCTAAACTATAATAAAATATTTTTAAAGTTGACTGCTGACAAAAATAGAACTAAACATTAGTTAATTGATAACACAGTCCCAGATTAAAAACAAAAATTGTTCAGCTTTATATACAACTCTTGAATACTTAGACATACTGTGTATAGCCCCTCTGTTATTTTTTTCCTTTATGGAAGTGGAGTGGGGGTGAAGGATTGTGCCATGCTTAGCAGTGTTCAGGAGCTACTCCTGGCTCTGTGTTCAGGGGGATCAAATGAGGGGTCACTATGTCCAAGGCAAGCACCTCACTCTTGTACTATCTCTCAAGCCCTCTCTGTGTACTCTCACACAGGGAAATACTAGCACTGATGAAAGAACTGCCAAGCTAGATTCTCTACACCCAGAATTAGCCAAGAGAAACATTAGCTCCTTCAATCTATGAGAACAAAGCACAGTGGGGAAACATAAGATGTAGCTTATGTTTTATCTCCTAAAATCTTCAGAAATGTGCCTTGAGGTTTTGTCCTCAACTATTCATTTTGTCATTTACAAAATGGTAGAAAAAAAGAATAACTGGGTCAAACAACTTATTGCATCGATGAGTCCAGTAACATCTTAGACCTATCAACTGACTACGGAGCTCTGGGTCATGTTTCTAAGAACTGACTCACCTACCTGCATAGAGAAAACAAACCAATCGTCCAAATATTTGACCCTTGCAAATACTCCAGAGGCAACTAATATAGTATGTTATTCCCATTGATAGATGAGGAAACAGCCTTGGAGTAGGAAAGTCAGTATGAAATTTCCTAAAATTGTACAACATCAATGGCAACTTCTTCTAAGGAATTCAAAATTTTGCTCCTACTGGATCCAAACTTATCCTAAAAAATACAAAGAAACATATTGTATATTTAGTAAATCTTCCCTAAGAAAGTACTTTTAGCTTCCAGGTCTGGGTTGGCACTGACTAAAGTTTCTTGGAGAGGTGATCCAACAGATCTTAGGCCTCAGTTTCCATCTTTAAGATAAAGAAGTTAAAGTAGGTCATCTCTAAGGTTTCTTCCAGCTCTGTGGTTCTTTTTACAGTCTATACCCTGATTGCTTTTCACATTTGTGAAAATGGTCCTGAAGCCCTGGTTATGTTATATTGATGAGTCTTTGTCAAATGGCCCAGGTAGCCTCTAGATGAAAAGTTTGTTAGATCAGCTGGCACCAGCTCAATCAGAGGTTAAAAATGAACATAGAAGACAAAATGGCAAACCAACAGTATATTTTTGGGGCTTTTCCAAACATTTCCACAGAAAAGAACACAGGGTAGTATTTTCCACAGTATACTAGTTCCAAGAGTTATTAATAAACTCGCTTTGAAAAGAGAGTGTTGGCCACCATGCTAAACAATATCAATCAAAAGGATTTCCTCATGAGGAAATCCTTTTCCACTTATTCAAGTTATTAACTGATTCCCAGGAGGAAGATAGATTTCTATCTCGAGAAATCAGCAGGGCTTAGAGCAGTTTCAGAAAGCACTGTTAATAAATACTTCAGTCTACTGATTGTTGCTAGCACCTTGAATTCATCCCAGGAGCAAAGAGTAGCCTAGGTATAGTATGTGTGATATGAGAGGGAAACACTGCTTGCTTTCTAATAAACCCAAATGCAGGAATGTGACTGTCTACATTGTAGTTCTTCAAATACTTCCTTTAATGCAATGTCCGGTGTTTGGTCAAGTAAAAAGTGGTAATTGATGGAATGATGATGGATGTGTTAGGTAGGAATAAAGAGAAGGGCAGCAAGTAGTCCCGTTAATTTAATTGGTAATTTTAAATTTTGCAAATAAAGTATCTCGTCAGAATAGATAATAGGGTGACTGGGGATGGGAAATAGGAAGTCATAAAAGGAAGAACCCAGCTAGCAGCTCTCCTTGACCCCACACTTGGACCCAAGCAGACTGCAGGACAACATGATTTTCACCTTTATTCATGGGCCATGGTCAAAGAGCCAAGAAAAGGTCAAGAGCACAGAGAAACACACTGGACCTCGGGTCCCAAGACATAGGTCCCAGTTATAGACTACAGACCACCAGTGACAGGCCATCGAGAGGCCAGTGGTAGACTTGAGAGATGACCAGCAAGAGTCCAATATGGAACTCAAGGGACAATATTTATGGGAAGCAGCATGAGGCTAGCACATAGAACATCAGGAATCCTAAATTACCTCCTTAATGTTGTTAAATAGGTAACCATAATTTCATAAACACCTTGAGTTTTCCATGCAAATCTTTCACACTTGGTGATAAATCCCCCAGTTGCCTATCCACAACCCATGCCTCATACCAAATCTCTTTTACAAGCTGCTCAGAACATTCAAGGTCCTGAGACAACCCCAGAATCTGAATTTCACAGATGTTGAAATGGGGATATCAAAGGTTATTCTCAAATTCAACTCACTGAGCCTGCTAAGTATGCCAGGGCCAGAGGGCAGTTGTAAACATGCTTCTCAGCAAAAAAATTAGGCTGGAACAAGTCAAAGGAGAGTGTGTAGACCCATACCTGTGTCCCACGTGATGCTGAAACAACATAAATAGATGCACAACAGGAACACAAGCTCCTCAAGCTTCCTGGCTCTCTCACACTTACTTGTCCACAGACTCTGAACTTTAGGACACTTGACATTGCTGCTGCCTGTTTGGGCCACCCCTGTCACAGTACTGACTGACAACATGCTAGTTTTAGAAATCTGTGGCTGAAAGTTTGTGTGGGGCAGCCCAGTTCAACTCTATTATTATAACAACAATTAAAAATATCCTGAGCTGCTTGGCTGTAGGTCACAAGATTCCCACTGTGCTAGGTGGATCCAGGCCCCAACAACAAAATTATCTGAGCTTTCCCAAGATAGTCCAAGGAACCACTCATCAGACAATCTTGGGCTCCAAGCCTTTCACACGTTAAGTCTCTGCTCTGCTCTCTTTGAAGTTAAGTAGCATCCTAGGTCCTAGACAGTTAATCTCTTGCATACTCATCTTCTCTGGCAAGCAACCTCTTGGATCCAGATGGAAAGTTCTAGTAGGTGAGTGTCTAGAGAAATGCAATATGGGGAGATGGCATAAGAATGTAAGAGAAAGAGTAGGGGGTGGGAATGGGCAGGACCTAAGGAGATGAAGGGGTTGAGAAGACTAGGGAAAATGAAGGCCTAAGGTCACTACTGTGATGCAATAAGCAAAAGAGTTTTCTAGATGATTTAAAGAGGATAAAACGGGTAATGGGTATAATCTTGGGAAGGGTGAAAACAACTTGCATGCATTCTATTATTGTGTCAATATTTAGAGATCAAATTAAAATCCTATTGCATCGATTTTCTGTTTAATGGAGAATAGCCCTTGCTTTCTTTCTAACATGCTCTTGAGTCCCTCAAGTGAATTTTGACAATTTTAGTACTTAGTAATTAGTCCAATTTTTCTCAAATCATAATACGATAAAAAGGTAAAAAACAGCTGTTAAACTATCAAATGTTCATTGCTATGGCAGTTTTTATTCTTTACTAAAATTAGAATTTCCAAAATTACCAGAATTTTCTCCAAACAGTAATTTTCTCCAAACTCTAATAATGCATTTTATTTCTTTCTAAGCAACTTCTTCCTTAGTACCTTTCCTTAGTAAATTCCTTTCTGAGTAACTTCCTTTCTGGCATTGTATGTTAAAAGATCAGTGTGGGTTGGGGTGTGTACTTAGCACAAAGGAGCCCTAGGTTAGATCTATAGTATCACATGGTCCCCTGAGTACCTCTGGCAGCTGACCCCCAAGAAATGAGCAGAGAATTGACCAGGAGTTCCACCAGATGCAGGAGCCCATCAACAAAACAAAACAGAACCAAAGGAAAAAAGGCCAAAGTGAAAAATAACTTGTAACTTCTGTTTTGTAATCAGTGGTTTGTTCCTTTAAAAGACAGCAAAACTTATGTTTTGGGGCAAAGTTCCACAAATAAGTGAAACATTTTACATGGTACATTTCTCTGTCAATAGAAATCACTCTGCCACATGAAAGGCCAATGGTTTTGCAATGATAGATCTAGGAGAAATTTTCGGTTAATAAATACCCAAGAAAGGAGATCCAGGTCAGTTACCAGTCAGTAAAATTTCAAAACATTCAATCACATGACTTGGAAGCTAAAAAGGAACTTGGAAACCCTCTAAGTCTAGAAGGGGCAAAACTGACACCACCCACCACCACCACCCCTACCCAGCAGAGCCTAGCTATGTTTTATTCAGGCCACTTTTTCTTTTTTTAATCTTTCACACAGGCCTACTATTTCAACGGCTTCATCCTTACTACTCCCTGTTACTCACCCATCAGCCAGCTCCACAAAAAGCCAGACTGAGTCCTGCAGTCATTGGAGATAGTGAGCACTGATCAGCTCAAACCTAATTCTACCAGGTAGAAAAGATGATTTTCATATATGTTTTTTCTCTGGAGAAATACCAATTCAACTTATTTGCTGCCCCCAAATGTCTGAGAATCAACCCAAGCCTCACAAACGCAAAGCATCTGAGCCATGTCCCCAAACCCCTTTGCTCGCATTTTAACTGAGTTATTTTATTTTAACTGAGTTTATTTAGGGCTGGAGCAATAGCACAGCGGGTAGGGCGTTCGCCTTACAAGCAGCCAACATGGCCAACCCGAGTTCAATTCCTCTGCCCCTCTCAGAGAGCCTGGCAAGCTACCGAGAGTATTCGATATGCCAAACACAGTAACAACAAAGTCTCCAATAGAGACGTTACTGGGCCCGCTTGAGCAAATCGACGATCAACGGGAGGGCCTTTACCTTTACCTTATTTATGTTTTAATTCTGAATTCCGGGAGTTTTTTCTATTTGGGGTTGGGGTATCTATACCTTATCAGATATATGATTTGCAGATATTTTCTCCATTCTGTGGATCACTTAATCACTTAATCCCTGTTATTCATCGATTTATTCGAGCGGGTGCCAGTAACGTCTCCATTCATCCCAATTGCGTGCTAGCGTAGCCCAATGGTATCTGTTCGTTTTAGGAACATGTAGAGCCTCAAACCGATTATTTAGGGTCTTGACGAAAAAGTCTGACCATCTTATAGGTGGGCGTCCACGTGATCTTTTGATGTCTCGTGGAATCCAATCAGTAATGGCTCTAGTCCAGCGGTTGTCTGTAAACCTCATTACGTGTCCAGCCCATCTGATTTTTGATGTCTTGGCAAATGAGACAGCATCCCTGATTTTTGAGCGTTGACGAAGATCAGAACTCCGGATTCTATCTCTCATTTGAGTGAATCGTGATATTCCAAGCATAGTTCTTTCGATTCCTCTTTGAGAGACCCGAATAGTGTTCTCATCCTGTTTTTGTAGGGTCCAGGTCTCTGAGGCATATGTTAATGCAGGAAGAATAGTGGAATCAAAGAGATGTGCTCGTAGCTGGAGGTTCTTTGTCCTTTTAGTTATTTCTTCAATGCTCTTGAAGGCATTCCAAGCCGCTCTCTTCCTCCTGCGCAGTTCAGGTGCCAGGTCATTCATCATGTTGATTTCTCGACCTAGGTATATATAACTGTTGCATTCGGAGATGGTGGTTCCGTTGAGAGCGAATGGAGCGCCAGAAACAAGGCTGTTTTTCATAAACATTGTCTTCGTAAGATTCAGCTGTAGTCCGACCTTTCCACATTCACGGTCAAAGTCGTTCAGCATTTGTGCCGCTTGGTTGATGTTTGGTGTTATTAGAACAATGTCATCAGCAAAGCGGAGGTGGTGTAGTTGCCGACCATCTATCTTCACTCCCATGTTTTCCCATTCCAGTCGTCGCATGATGTTCTCGAGGGTGGCACTGAAGAGTTTTGGTGAAATGGTATCACCCTGCCGAACCCCTCTCCTGATATGGATGATTACTTCTTTGTAGAATGGTGAGATCTTGGTAGTGAATCCGCAATAGAGTTCACGAAGGATCCTGATGTATTGAGTTTGTACGCCCTGATTGGCTAGGGCTTCCATGACCGCTTCCGTCTCAACAGAATCAAAGGCCTTCTTTAAATCAATGAATGTTAGACAGAGTGGCATCTTGAACTCTCGAGATACCTCAGTGAGCTTGGTTATTGTGTGGATATGGTCAATGGTACTGAATCCTTTTCGGAATCCAGCTTGTTCACATGGTTGTCCTTCATCTAGTGTTCTGCTAATCCTATTCAGGATGACTCGAGTGAATAGTTTGTAGATGACAGACAATAGGCAGATTGGGCGATAGTTGCCAATGTCGTGGATGTCTCCTTTCTTGTATAGTAGTACAGTCTTGCTGGTTTTCCATTGGGATGGAACCTTGAATTCAGACAGGTAGCGTGTGAAGAGTCGAGCTAATGTATTGATGAGTACTGATGGTAAGTTCTTCAGGTGTTCAGGTCTGATCTTGTCTGGGCCAGGTGCTCTTTGTTTCTTTACCGACGAGATGGCATGTTGGATTTCGGAAGGGAGAACATTGGGAACGACATATCCATCATGTGGTATGTGGTATGTGGGCAAGTGGATGTGGCTATTAAAGAGATCTGAGTAGAAGTCATGAATAATCTTCTCCATTGCCCTTCTGGAAGATGTGATAGATCCATCATGATGTCGGAGGGCAGTCATCTTGGTTTTGTAGTTGGTGAAGGACAGGCGGGCATTACGAATGTTTTTCCCAGCTTCTGCTGCATCTACCAGTACTGCTGCTCTCCTGTTTTTGAGGTCATCCTTGATGGCTTTTCTGCACTGTTTTGCCAGTTCGGACGTTTGCTTGTGGTTGCCTGAGGCACGTGCCAAGCCACGTTGGCGAATAAGTTCAAGAGTGTTCGAAGAAAGAAGGTTTTTTGTGGTTATCTCTCTCTTGGCATTCCTTGCACAATCATGGAGGTGCTGAATCATTCGATCATATTCCTCATCAATGTTGTCAATGACGGCATCTTCCCATGTTGCCGCAACAGAGCCAAAGAGTTCCCAGTTAGTGGTTGTTCTGGGAGTCCTCTTCTTAAACCTTGCATTCTTTTCTCCTCGTTCTGTGAGGTAGAATTTTGCACGAAGAAGACGGTGGTCTGATCCCGTTTGGAATTTTGGGACAACAGCAACATCGGTTAGGCAAAACCGCCGATTGAATATGATGTGGTCTATTTCATTGTGGAACCGTCCATCGGGAGACTCCCATGTCCAACGTTTAGATTCAGCCTTTTGGAATTGTGAGTTACCATGGAAGGTTTTGGTTGACATGATGAACTCAGACAGTCTGTCACCCTGTTCGTTCCATTCCAGGCCATGGGTTCCGATGTGGAGTTCATCGACTGATCTTCTTGGTCCTATCTTGGCATTAAAATCACCGACAATGATCTTGTAGAAGGTGTGATCTTCTTTATAGAATTTCTCCAGCTCCATGTAGAATTTCTCAGTTTCTTTTTCACCATAACTGGATGTTGGTGCATAGACAACAAAGATAGAAACTGCCGGTAGTGAGCCACATTTATTCAAGTGTAATCGTCCGATTCGGGTTGTTAGGCATTCAAATGAATCAATGCTCATGACTAAGTTTGTGTTGACAAGGATACCGACACCACCGACGCCTCTTTTATCACATGTTCCAAGGAACAGTTCTTCTCCAGTGTCGAAAACAGCATGATGGGATTGATGTCTTCTCGTTTCGGTCAGACCAATGATGTCGTACTTGATCTTTCGTGCTTGTACCATAAGGTCTTCAATGGATGCAGCAGATGCCAGCGTACGAGCATTAAAAGTACAGACAATCATTTTTGTTTTTCTGCGTTTTGGCAGCCTATGTCTGCCTTGGTGTTTTATCAGCCTCTCCTTCCATATCCTTCTCGACTCTGCATATTCAGGATTAGGGAAATGAGATCCATTTATTACTGGATTTGGCATATCAATTTGGTCTATTTGGCATAGACCACGGTTAGCTTGCCAGGCTCTGTCGTGCGGGTTGGATATTTAAGGATTTATTTATAATTTTTTTAAAATTTATATTTATTTATTTATATATTTATCCATTCTGTGGATCATTGTTTTTTATTCTGTGGATAGGTTGTTTGGTGCAGAGAATTTTAAATTTTTCATGAAGTTCTATTTGTTTGTTTTTTTGGGGGAGCCTAGGGGCCAGTCTTGATGATTCTTAGCTAACCAAGTCAGTAGGTCATGGTGAAGGTCCAAGGATGTGGTACTGCTTAAACTCGTTTGGTGAGTGTGTCAGGGGTTACTGGGGCGATCTCTGGAGATTAGGCCCTCCAGGGCCACTCCAGCAGTGCTCAGGGGAACTTCAGGGCCACTCCACTCATGTTCAGAGGACCATGTGGTACTGGGACTCAAACTAAGGGTGAGCTGCACACAAGGCCTTAGTGCCTATATGATCTCCGGGGCCCTACTTACTCTTTTCATGCTTTCTTTTGGTTGTCCATGTCTCTCATGTAAGATACCAAGATGTCATGATGCTTTTCTAAGAAGTTCATTGTTTCAAGTTTTGTGTTTAGGTCCTAGATTTCTGTTGACTTTTATATATAGTGCTAGACATAAAAATTAAAGTACCTCCCACATTGGCTGAGGGAGGTGGCAAAAATCTCGCATCTGAATCTGTCTGACACGTCCATTGTGTTGCTTTCTCTAATCTTGTGGTGGAATGGTTTCTCTTTTTAGTTTTTATGGCTTGTGTTCTTTTTGCTGTTGTGTTGTGTTGCTTTGTTGTTTTGCCCTCTCGGTTTTCTATCTCAGTCCTGCCCATTCTAGGTCATCACTGTTGGGAGACAGATCTGCCTCCTTGCTGATGATAAACTGTGGAACCTGGTCTCTTATCATTCAGCATTGTGCCCTCTGCAATATCCAGTTTAGTGTGATAAATGGGTGAACCAGTGAATGACCATTCACTGCACAGAGAAGTTACCATACCACCTTCAAAGAAAATACTAAATATCGTATATTGCACCTCTTGTGCTAGTTGCATTGTGATTATCAATAGTTTTGATTAGCGGAAACAACACTAAAACCAAAATTATAACAAGTTATGAAGTTACTTGTTTTTCTCTGAATACTTCACCTCTTTATTAATGTTTTCTCCTGGTCTTATTTCTTTCATCTCACCTCAAACTCTAAGTCTTTGTTCATTAATCTTCATTTTCCTCTTTTAAGGGAATGCAGTACTTAAACATGAGAGACCAAATAGGGAACTAATAGTTACATACAGAACATTCAACCTAACAACAGAATACATGTTCTTCTCAAATGCATATGGAATATTTTCTATAGGAGATGATATGTTAGACCATAACTGATGTCTTAATATATTTTTTAAAATTAGATAGTATACAAAGTATCTTCTCTGATTATAAATAGCAGGAATCAGGAATGAATAAATAACAAAAGGAAAATTATTTACTAAATGATAATGAACTAGAGGTTTTTTTCTAGTGTGGAACTATAACGGTGGAAATTGCTATGAACATTTATGCACAAGTCTTAAATGGATAGAATTTTGTTTCCTTTAAGTGAATATAGAGAATAAAAGTGGCGTAAAATTGAATATCTTTTACATAACATTTTCTTATCTGTTGTGATTGTTCATTCATGTGTTTTGCTATTCTCTTTCAACTTGAAATTTGTATATTGATTTTTCCTAAGGTATTTTAAAGCAAAATTGAAAAGTTTTATGTATTCAAATGCATTTTCCTTTTCTTTAATTGCATCTGCACTTTGAATCATATCTTCTAGTATTGTTATTGTTTCATTTTCTTACATTTAGATTCTTGATTCATGTAAAGCTTATTTTTGTAAGTGGTATGAAGAAGAAATCTAATTTATATTTTTACAAATCGATATCCAGCATTTAGATTCCAAATGTCCATTTTTACTTCTAGTGATTTGAAAAATTATCTTTTCGTATACTGTCCCTTGTTTCATTTCTTTATATTCTGAAAAAGAGTGAGATAACCTGTTGTTTGTTTTTAATTTCTGATTCACTTCGCTTAGCATAACTTCCCCCAGTTCCATCCAAGCTGCAGAAAACTACAAGATCTTTTCTGCTCACGATCACGATCACGACCATCCTGTTGTTCGTCAATTGCCTCGAGCAGGCCCCAGTAACATCTCCTTCGTCCTAGCCCTGAGATTTTTTAAAAAGTGCCATATTCAAGGCTCCTTCAGGGCTAGGAGAATGAGACTCATCATTGTTACTGGTATTTGGCATATTGGGTACGCCACGGGGAGTTTGCCAGACTCTGCCGTGTGGGCAGGTTACATTCAATAGCCTGCCAGTTTCTCCAAAGTAAGGATGAGATAATAAGATGTCCTGGATCTGGGTTTTATAGTCTCTGGGTCTTGACCATTGATGGGATTACATGGCGCCAGGGGGCCAGTTGGTGGGTGTGACCCCTGCCGACTAGAAGATGGAGGATCTGGGTGGAGGATGCTCAGCCCCGATCCGAGCAGGCTTGAGGATCTCAACCCCAGAACCCGCATGCCTTTGTTCCTCTGCCGGTACCTTCATGCGTGTGGAGAGTGGTCTCAGCATGGTGGTGGCTGGTTCTGGAGGTCTTCGGCTGCCGGAGCCCTGGTCAGGGCGGGGAGGGAAACTCGACCTTTTCTGCTAGCTAAGCAATATTTCATTGTGTCTCTATAGCACAATTTCTTTATCTACTAATCTCTTGTGGGACACTTGGGTTGCTCTGTTAATAATGCTGTTGTGCATAGTTAACATCCTCTAGAGATTCCAAGAAACAGAATTTCTTCTTTTTACAGGGTGTTACTGTTGAGCAAAGAAAGGCAGGGAGGTAAACCAAAATTTAATTTAATTTAATCTCCAATGAAGAAGTACTGGAAAAGAGTAGACACTAAAAATAGAGGAGTTCTTACATGGCTGTACATAAAAAGAGAACATAACAGATGTCCAGAGAATGAAATCACTGACCCTTTCATTCTTTCATTCTTCAGAAGATGCAGAAGTGACCAGATGGAGAGAGATGGAGAGAAGGGATGATCTGCAATGTAACTGAGAAAGTCCTTCTAAGGACTCTTACAATTGCTGTATGCTGGAAAACCACCTGAGAAATTTGAAAGTATGAAAGCAATCACGTCTCAATAGAATAGAAATTAGAATACAAGTTTTAAATCTTTTCTGGCCTTGAATCCCTTTGGAAACCTGGTAAAACCTATAAATTATTATAAGCACGGTCCTCCCGTTGTTCATCGATTTGCTCGAGCGGGCCCAGCAACATCTACATCATGAGACTTGTTGTTACTGTGTTTGGCATATCCAATACGTCACGGGTAGCTTGCCAGGCTCTGCCCTGCAGGTGAGATACTCTGGGTAGCTTGCCGGGCTCTCCGAGAGGGGCGGAGGAATTGAACTCGGGCGGGCCATGTTGGCCGCTTGTAAGGCGAACGCCTTACGCTGCACACCTGTAGTCCCAGATAAATTATTAAAACTAATAATTGTAAATAGTTAATATAGATTTTAGTTAAAATCTATGTATATTAAAAGGAATCCAATAATGCTCAAATATGTCTTCATTATTCCAGATACTCCAGTACATAAAGACTATGTTAATGATATTATATCTGTTAGAACCTGTAAGCATAGTGGTATGGCATTTAAGGGAAAGGATGATTACTGCAGAATTGCAAATTTGGAAGCAGATTAAACAGTTCAAAGGGTATTCAACAGCAGGTTATAGCAAAAAAAAGAAAAACAATAGAAAGAGACATCAAAGTACATATAGTAATTATTAAAAGTAGAAGAGAAAATACATGATGATACTTGAATATCAGTAAGATGCAATTGGATTTTAAAAACACTTTCTAATTTTGGCATCATGCCTTTGTAAAACAGGGGCTTTTGTGTGCTACAAATGACTTACTTCAGCATTTGCATTTTTGTTTTCTAGCTGATCTGGTGCTAACCCAAATTTTTTATGAATTCCTGGTTCTCAAAGGGGAAATGTTAAGTATATGTTTGAATTCTAAGCTATCATATATTAAAATGTCCACAATTGGAGTTTTTGTGTTTTTGTTTTTGTTTTTGTTTTAGTTTTACTGAATCACCATGAGATAGTTACAAGCTTTCAGTTTTGGGTTACAGTTGGAGTTTAAGGATGAAATGTGGAGACCAAAGTGAAAAGTTATGAAATTCAAAGTTGTATATTTTCAGGAACTATGCCAAAGAACAAAACAGTCACATCACAGAATTTACTTAATTTAGGAGTTCAGCTATAGTTCCGTGTGAGAGAGAAGCGAACAATTCCAACCATCAGAGCTACCATTCTTTTTAAGGAATACAAAGGAGGCTTGAAGAGACTATTCCATTAGTTGATATTAGTTTTCCCTTGTCTTTAGAGCAAGCATTTCAGAATTGTGTGTAATTCTAGTGTTTCAAGTAAACGTTTGGAATCTACTTTTCAAATTCCATTAAAAAAAATTCTTTTGACAAAAGACATCTGCCTTCCATGCATTGACAAAGAGTTCAACGCACAAGCAATCAGCCCAGGTTCACTGACAGGGCTGTCTGGCACAAAATCAACACCTCCAAACAAAACAAAATGAAACAACCCTTTCCCCACCCCCAAAATAAACCCTACTCAATGGGTTTGTTGCTATTGCAAATTAATTTTCTTTTCTAATTTCTAATGAGTTATTTTTGGAGAAGTAGAAGCAATTAAACATTTCCAACCATAATTTCCTTTAGTTTAGCTGAATTCATTAGTTTTAGCTGAATTCATCACCTCTGAAATAGCTCTGTCCCAACCTTTCCATTTACTTGTCTCTTATGTCTCCTTTCTTGTTTTAGTGTGTTGACTAAAACCTCAAATGTAATAGTGAAGAGTATTGGTAGAAATAAATCGCTTCATTTTGTTCTTACTTTCAAGGGAATGCATGTGTTCACCACGAGGTATAAGCTTGTAATAAATATTCTATAATGAAGTTTCCTGTCTTCTTAGCTCCTTATGGCATTTTAATGGCTTTTACATTTTGTCAGGCACATATTTTTCAGCATAATATGATCCTATGGTTTCTATTTCCTTTCATCAGATATTATGGTGATTTGTATTAATAGGCTTCATATAGTTGAAGTGGTTCTGCCTTATTCCTAGAATAAACTCTCTTGGTTTATCCCTTTACTGTCATATTATGTTACTTGTAATATAATATATGATGTAATATTCCTTTAATATACTGCCAGCTTTTGCACTAATACTCTTTGGGATTTTTCTTCTATGTTCATAAATGAGATTTGTTGATTGTGTTTGTGGAGGCGAGTAGGGAAGAACTTTCCTTTTGGTTTGCCATCAGGATTATATTGGTTTTAGATTGAATGGGTCACATATCTGTTTGCTTTGGGCCATTTATATAACAGAGGAATTAGTTGTTCTTTGACCTGTTGGTTGAACACTCATATAAACTGACTTGGGATTAATAGCAGTTTTTAGGAGTAAATCTCTGCCAAACTTCTGTTTCTTGTGTGATGGTTGATCTATACAGGTTCTCTACCGTGTTGCTTTCTATTCTGTTTTGCGGCCACTTTCAGGGGAGCTCAGGGTTTAATACTATCTTGGCCTGAAGTGTTTTCCTCCAGTAGTACTCAGGGGAATATGCAATGCTGGGGATCAAACCTGGGACTTCCCAAGTGCAAGGAATAAACTCCAGCCTTTTGAGATGCTTCCCTGGTCCCCTTATCTTAAAGTCCATTTTGTGGTTAATGTTTCCTATAAAACTATCTACTTTGTTTTAATTTTCAAATTCATTTGTATAAAATATTTTTAAAAAAATTATAGTAACTATAAGTGTCTTCTGAAATTATATTTTTTGTCTGTCTGATGTCTTGTGTGTTTTCTCTCCTTTGAGATCTGCAGATATTTTATTAAATAAAATAAATTTTAAATAAAGCTGAACCCATTTAGTTCAAAGATCATTTCCATAGCAGAGCCATAGTAACCAGACTCAGTCTTACGCAACAGTAAGAAATCCAGGTGTTTAGAATTTGGATATCTTGGGAGAAAAAGCTTGAAAACTTTTGAATCACTAAAAAACCTTATCTGTTACTTTTAATTTTAGTCAATGGAAAAAAATCTCATTATATGTTTTGCTTTACTATTAAGGTACCAGTGTATACATTAATGTCTGTTTCTTAACATTTCAATTTCATTAGACACAAGATTTCATCTTGCTAATTTTTCTTGAATGTGACTTAATGAATCCCCTATAATTTTATTTTTAGTCGTGTTGTTATGCCATTCATTTTCACTTTCTCTTTTACTTGTGTTAAAGAAAAATTTCACCTTTTATAATTTCAAGACTCATCATTCTTATTTGGCGAACTACCTCTGTGTTCAAAATGCTGGAATATAAATGTCATCACTTTGTTCTCTTATCATTTTTTGGTTTTGCTTTTTTTTTCTCTGTTCAGGAAGCATTTTTTTTGTTGTTGTTATTCCAAGTTTAGACTTGTCACTGCCAGAAAATTCACATATTCAGTGATGATCTCACTCAACTGTGGACTACAGAGAGACGAAACAAGGGAATATACAGCACTGAACAAAGACAACCCCTTGACCTTGTATTACAAAACTGATAAACAGTTGGGGGAGGGATAGAGAAATAAAGACTGAACCAGGGGTGAGATAAGGACAATGGTGGAGTGGCATGGTACTTCAGTGGTGGTGAGATACAATAACTTTGTACATCAACACCATCGACTTTAGCACTATTCTAACATTACCTAAACTGTAATGAAAGAAAGAAAGAAAGAAAGAAAGAAAGAAAGAAAGAAAGAGAAAATCAACTTATTCAGATAGTCTCTTGAATAGCCCTTCTCAGCTTCTAAATCTTGAATTTTGCAAACATATCAACATATTTCTCTTATCACTGCATTTGTATCACTTGTCATCCCATTCAACATATTTCTCTTATCACTTCATTTGTATCACTTGTCGTCCCGTTGTTCATTGATTTGCTCGAGCGGGCGCCAGTAACATCTCCATTCATCCCTGTCATGTGCTAGTGTAGCCCAGTGGCATATTGGGAGCTCTTTCAGGGTCAGGGGAATGAAATCCGTTATTGTTACTGTTTTTGGCATATTGAATACATCATGGGTAGCTTGCTATGCTTTGCCGTGCAGGCGGGATACTCTCGGTAGCTTGCTGGGCTGAGAGGGAAAAACTGCATTGCTCTCTTCCGGGAGCTTTTTTTTTTATAGTCTCTGGATCTTGGCTGTAGATGAGATTACATGGCGCCCGGGGGCAGTTTGTGGGTGTGACTGCCAAGCTTCTGGAAAATGGGGGAATCTGGGTGGAGGAGGCCCAGTCCCGATCCGAGCAGGCTTGGAGATCTCAGTCCTGGGTCCTGCATACCTGGGTTCCTCTGTCGGTTCCTGCATGCGTGAGGCTCATCCGAGCATAAGTAGAGTGGCCTTGAGCATGCATTTTATTTGTATAATACAATCATTCAACCCATGATTCATGGATGAGTCTTACTTCCAACTCCAAGATTTGGCTTTTACTTAAGAAGCTCTTAATACTGTTCTTAATTCAGAAATAGTGCCACTGTTTAACAGCGATTCAGTAGTCACTGTGCAAGGGACTCTCACCATAAGAGAAAAGACAAAAATGACCCCAGGGGTATTGTTCAAATAACTGTGTTGATACTTGGCAAGAAAACTGATCAATTTGGACAAAAAGGGAGAGATCTTCTCTTTCCCAGTCACTTTTCCTGTGCTCTTCACCTTAATGGAAAGTTTCATGGGGGGTTTAGAGTAGAAATAGCCATTTGGGTTTATTTTTCCCAGCAGTTGAGCTGTATTCAACAACTTGTTTTCTACTTGTTCCAGTTTATTGTGTTTAGATGCAGCCAAATAAAGAGTAGTAGTCTTCAGTATCACACACCTGAACACCTAAGGTGGCCTTACCTACTTGGCAAATGGCCTGACACAGAGGAACTGGAGCATCAGAGAGGCTGGTTACTGCTGGTCCTGCCACCTTTTCCTCATTGGCTGTTCTATTGTTGGTTTTAACAAGCTTCACCTTATTGCTGTGCCCTTGGCACTACTCTGGAGCCATGCTCTCATTAGTAGTTTATAGTCTATTACTTTGTTTCAGATGTGGTAATTATTAGAAAGTCAGAACTAAACTTTATTCTTATGTAAATGTAGTCACCTTAAAGTCTTGACACATAGGTTTGAATT